AGTGCCATATAGTAGCGACATCTAGTGGCGTGGAAAATTGTATTAGCGCCATCTAGTGGCTAATAGACTGTTTGTGATAGCGCCATCTATTGACGTTGTGAACTATTTATGCCAGCGCCATCTAGCGGTGTTGTAAAATTTTATTATCATCTATATAGTGGCAATATGAAATATCCGTCAGCGACATCCAGCTGTGTTTTAAACTGTCTGTATTAGCGCATCTAGCGACGAATCTAAATTATAGTATTGTGCAAACGCTATCTAGCGTAGAATAGAAAATCTTACTTCTTACTAATATTATAAATGCGAAAGTTTAGATGGATATATGGATAGATGGATGGATGGATGGATGGATGGATGGATGTTTGTTAGAGTTTGTAGTCTAAACGGCTGAATTGATTTTGATGAAATTTGGTATAGATGTGGAGGATAGTCTGGAAGAACACATAGGCTACTCACTTTTGTTTTTTTTTAATTCCACGCGGATAAAGTCGCGGGCGAAAGCTAGTTTTAAATAATGTAGTAAATTACATATGATCGATTTTGTAATATGAGAAATGTAGATAATTTAAAATTAATGACGGACTTGCACGAATGTCATGTAGGTTGTAAAAGCATGCAAGTGAACTAATACTGTAAATAAATAGTAAATTGTGGCATGTTTTATATAACCAACTCAATTTAGACTAGTTTTATACATAATTCTTGTAGCATGCAAGTATATGCTTTCAAAAATTCATAATTACATTGAATTCAAGTTTTCTTTTTAATTGTCAGGCTCGAAGGACCAAAACGATTTTTCAATTTAAACTAACAATATTTTTAAGTGAATTAAAAAGTTTACTTCCCTAGATTATATTATTATTCCATTATGGTAAGAGAACTAATTTATAAACGTACACTTATAAAAAAATATGGTTTTAAATATTTAGTTAAGAAATGAAATTGTTGCAGTCCACAGACCAAGCAAAAGGGTCTGTGGCGCAAAGGGTTGCGCCGCTCCCCCTCCGCCCCCCTGCACCCCCTGCACCCACAACTCACAATTGACAATAGGTTTATAAACTACCCTCACTTTTGTTATCATCGATGTCTGTAACTTAGCTTTTAGTAACTTTAAATTTGTATTTGCACTTTTTTATGACGTATATTCATTGTTGCTTAGTTATTGATGGTATTTATCTTACTAAAATTTATTATTTACTATAATTACAATATAAAACGATATGATACCTTTAATTATAATTTGCATTTTATGTTCTATTCGTATTTAGTTCTATGGATTTCGACTATCAAGCATTTTCATTCATGTATATCCATCTCTTTCGTAGTATTTGTCAAAAAGAGACGACGAATATGTACAGATGTGTAGTCAAATGTTGCAGTCATATTGCTTTGTTCGCACTTTTCCAATACAGTTGGACTTGAAGGCTTGGATTGTATAAACTGGCGCCAGTTAGAGTGCACTTTAATGCAACTGAATGCCAGTCCAGTGAAGCGCTGTCCTACTGTACTGTCCAAGTGTGCATTAGGGATTCTTTGTTGCATATTAGTCGCTACATGTATGATTAGTAGTATTCAATAGAAATGAGAAATTATATTAACACATTTGCTGTCTGCTTGTATTTTTAAAAGGTTTTTTTTTTTTATTAAAATAGACTTGTCTGTTTTTAATATGTCTGTGAACAGCCTTATAAAGATGTTTTGATATGTTTGGTATAATTTCTCACTTATGCTTTTCTATATGTTGTTTTCTTTTAGAGGTGTTTTAATGGTTTTTTTTTTAATTTTGACAGAGAAACCGATGAAGAGAGTGAGAGTGTGTGTGTGGGCGGAGTGGAGGACGAGACTAAGGAGATCAAACGAGAAACCACGGACAGACAGACCACCGCTATTAGAAGAAAAACTGAAAAGTACGTTTATCATATATGTATTTATATAAAAAATAATGCAAAAAAACATTAAATAGACTGTTACCAATATTATGTTTATAACACGATATATGATAATATCCGGTTACATTTGAAGAAATGTATTAGTATAGTAAAGGAAGTTTATTTCCTACCCATTCAGTGAAAAGTAATTTGACGTTCACAATTAGGTCGATAATTTGTCATAACAACATACAAACAACATTTAGTAAACAGTAAATTATTGCGCTTGTTGCTAGTACAAGACTATTGATTTAATATCTAAAATACTCTCCCCCCTCTCTCTCTCTTTCTCTCCTCTATATGATTGGATAAACTACTAGACTATATTTTAGTTTTTATGTTACTTGCTACTTGATTAAATTACAAGCCTATTGTGAACTAGGCATTATGTTGTATAGTATGATTCTGTTGTAAGTGGGAAGGGTATTTATTTCCTTGACTAAGTCTTCAATGGGTGTTGATTCAGAGCGCTGATGAACGATTTAGTGAAGTGCCACTCGCACGACAACATTAACTCGCGGCTGACGCGCGCCGCCAACTCAAGGTGACAACTAACGCGCTTTGACAACTGACACTTTGACAGTTTGACACTTTGACATTTGACATGTCTTTTGACCCAACTTGTGCGTTGCGGTTTACGCATTTTCTGTATGGATTTTGCTTTAATCTAAATGAGTTTTGTTTTTTACTTACACCTTATCGTGTGTTTTTAAATTTAATGCGTGTTTTTGCTTTTCAAGATTTTTATATTAAATATTTGCAGGAATTATACACATTATAGTGTAAAAATTATTTGCTTTAAAATTGGTGAGGCTTTTCTGATCAGAAATTCATATTAAATACATGTAAAATATCGTAGATGATTTTTTTTATCGCAATTTTGCTTTATGTGTACTTTCTTTGAAATATCAAATTATATACATTTCCTTCAGATATGTAATTAAATAAATTAATTTTATTTTATTGTATCTAAAGCCTGCTATACACGTGTAGGCAAAACTGATAACTGAATAAATCTGTTTTGTCAGATTTATCTGAATGATGGGACTGATCAGATAACAGTGGTAGTGCCCGCTTTAACATGTTAGCAGTGCAGGGCACGCCCCCAGTAATACCACGACCACACAGAAGATAGCCGTCAAATGGAAGCAATTCCGTGTTTCGTCTGATGAGTGTGGTGCCGGAGGCCTAATTTTTAGTCCCTTTCTCTTTACCATCTTTTTCTTGTAAGGAGAGGTTGGGGAGGGGAAGTGGATTTGACGGTGGAGGAGATGCATAGGAAGGGGAAATATCCTTTTTATGTGCGTCTCCTCCTCCGTCGTATAAGGGTAGGC